CCTTGGCCTCCATGACACGAACGAACTCGTCAGAAGCCTGCTCTCGCCGGATTCTCTCTCTCAGCGTCGGCTGAAGCTGCATAGCACTGATACTGGCACTGGTACTCCCCGGGACGGCTATGGGAAGTGCATCGATCGCCTGAAGCTGCATCCGGGCAAACTCCTGAATCAACGGACTCTGCTGCGTAATGAAGTATGTCAAGTCACCCCTCACCTTTCGGCTTAGGGCATCTGCGACAACGTTCGCCTTTCCCAGATGATACTGAATAGAGCAGTCGTAATCCTTGACAAGTTCGAGCCAACAGCGCTGTCTCATGTTGAGCTCCTTCTGCGTGAAGATGTACTGCAGGCTCTTATGATCTGTGAAAATCTCGCAACGTCCGCCATAAAGATAATGTCTCCAGATCTTGAGAGCATGAACGACTGCTGCTAACTCCAGTCATGCGTCGGATAATTCTGCTCATGAGGCTTAAGCTGACGTGAAGCATACGCGACGACCTGGCCGTCCTGCATAAGGACACATCCCAAGCCCTGTCTCGAAGCATCACTGAAGATAGTAAAACTCCGAGAAGGATTAGGAATAGTCAACACCGGTGCTAAAGTTAACCTCCTGAAAGCTCGCCTCACAACGATCAGTCCATTCGAACTTCATAGACTTCCTCGTCAGCTGGGTTAGAGGGAGGGCGATCTTAGAAAAGCCCTCGATAAATCTGCGGTAATAACCAGCTAGACCGAGAAAACTGCGAACCTCGGACGGACTCCTCGGTGTCGCCCAGTTGTGAACAGCTGAGACCTTGGAAGGATCCACCTCGATACCTGCCTGAGTAATCACATGACCCAGAAAGGATACTCGCTGGAGCCAGAATTCGCATTTAGAGAATTTTGCAAACAACTTTTCTCGTCTGAGGGTTTCGAGAACCACCCTCAGATGTTCCTCGTGCTCCTTCTGGCTCTTCGAGTAGATAAGAATATCGTCAATAAAGACAATAACGAACTGATCGAGGTAGGGATGGAAGATACGGTTCATGAGGTCCATGAAAACTGCTGGCGCATTGCTGAGACCGAATGGCATGACAACGAACTCGTAATGGCCGTAACGAGTCCTAAAAGCGGTCTTAGCGATATCTGACTCCTTAATCTTCAGTTGGTGGTAGCCTGATCGTAAATCAATCTTCGAGAATACACAGGCTCCCCTCAATTGATCAAATAAGTCGTCGATCCTGGGAAGCGGATACTTGTTCTTGATCGTCAACCGGTTAAGATCCCGGTAGTCGATACACATGCGCATGGATCTGTCCTTCTTCTTAACAAAAAGAACGAGTGCTCCCCAAGGTGACACGCTTGGCCGGATGAAACCGAGTCGTAATAGCTCCTGAATCTGAGTCTTAAGCTCCTGCAACTCCTTAGGCGCCATACGAT